CTCTATGCTGTTAAGAACTAGGGAACAGAGAACAGTGATTTGTACCAGTTACTCAAAGAAACAGCCAAAGTTTAGAAAAGCACCAAGAAAGCCAGTTTCTTTTCCCTATTTGTCTTTCCTCCCTTTTTCTTCCCCAGCCACATGTGTCTAAAACAGACTATAGACCACCTCTGAGGCCAGAGGCTGGGAAGGGTGTGATACCACCTGCCATTCTCCCTCCCCCTCCACAGGAACTGTACCAGCTGTCCAAGGAAAGAGCCGACTTCACTGTGGTAGCTGGAGAAAAGGGGAACTCCACTACTGGGGGCAGCAACGGAGAAAGTGAGGGCACCTCAGGGCCTGCTGTGTCTCAGAAGACCAGAACCTCCCCCAAGCAGTCCACCAGTACCAAGAAGGCAGGAGGGAAACTGAGTCACCCCAACAGCAAAGGGGGTAAGAAGGGAGGGGGCAGTGTGAGGGCAGACGTCAACGGACAGGGACCCGGTCTCCCACTCCAGCTCTCAGATCGTGTGATTTTCTGTGTCCATGCAGCTGACACTGACTGCATTCCTGCTGTGTCCAGCCATGGGCCAGAGTCCATTCCGCCGGGCACCCTCCACCTGCTCAGTAAACCTGATGACAGGCCCCTTGGAGAGCCCATCTCATCTGGGGATTAGCAACCTCTGAGCCTCCCTCTCACCCATGCTCAGAGCAGAGCAAGGCCTGGCCCCCCCCCTTTGCTGCCCTGACTTCAGGGCCCATCGTCAGCTCCCCAACCCTCTTCTTAGTTCCCATCCTGAGCTCTTTCTTGCAGGCCCCAAGCTGACTGCAAAGCCTTCCCCCGTGGGAGTGGGAGAGAAGCTGGTCACAAAGTCGTCTGTGAGAGTAGGGGAGAAGCGGAAGGCTTCTGATGAGACCCCGTGCCGCGCCAAGGTGAGGGGAAGACTAGGAGTGCACCAGGGGGCTGGTTTGGCCCAGGGCGTCATGTTCCCAACACTCTGTACTTGAACGTTGAGAGGTGACCAAAGGTGTTTTCAGAACTAATAGCCAAACCTCTCCCCTCCCGCAGCTGCTCTACCCTGTGCCCTCTCGTTGCCTTGCAGAGGCGGCTGGCCAGTGAGCAGAGAGGAAGGAGAGCTGTGTCTGCAGGCAGGAGGTAGACAGCGCAGCCTAGCCAAGAGAGGCCGCAGGGACCCACCGCTGCTGATCCCAAGTCACAATTTACATTAAAGGGGAGAAAGCCCAGTCTGGGTATGGGAGTGCAGCAGTGTGAGTTTGTGCTCAGGGCCAGCCGGCAAGGAGGGGGAGAGGGCAGACATTGGCTTAGTGGCTCTCCTCTCACCTAAGAAGCCTTTTCCCTCTTGTGCTCCCTCAATCTTTGACTACAGCTACCAATCACCTATTCAGGCCAGTAACTAGGCTCAGTCCTGGGGGATCTGGTGACCCAAAGGGCAGATAGAGAACTAAACCTTTGGTCACTATAAAGTGCAATCATGCAACCCATGCCCAGAGTAAGCACAGAAGTCTGGCAGCTCAGGCCCCGAACCTAGTTCCCTGCAGCCCTGTAGAACCTTTGCCATCTTTCCCCTACCTGAAGCCCTTGAATCCCTCCACAGTAATGAGCTGGGCTCCTGGCCCCCCAATCTAGCTATTTGTGCAGTGGACTGCTTGATTGGGCAACGTGACCACCCACCAGCCACTGGGTGGTTCTTGGAGACAAGTACTTTTCCCTTCTCTGGGTTCTTGGAGACAAGTACGTTTCCCTTCTCTGGGCCCTAGTGCTGGGAGCCGTCCTCTCCCCCCCTTTCCTGTAGGCAGGGAAGGAGGGGAGGGTCAGTCCTGTGTAATCGGCAGTAGCTGGAGGATGGGGGTGTTCATGCCTATGCCTTTTCTCCAGTGAACTTGTTCACTCATGTCCTGACCACTAGCCAGGCTCCCTACGTCTCTGGCTCTTGTTCTAACCCTACTTTCTGGCCTATGCTCATCTGGGTGGAGACCCGCCTGCCCCCAGCACAGATCAAACCCACTTCTAATCCCACCCTGACCCTGTGCATTTGCAGGTGCTGCTGGACATCTTCACTGGGGTGCGGCTCTACCTGCCGCCCTCCACGCCAGACTTCAGCCGTCTCAGACGCTACTTTGTGGCATTCGATGGGGACCTGGTACAGGAATTTGACATGTCCTCAGCCACACATGTGCTGGGTAGCAGGGACAAGAACCCTGAGGCCCAGCAGGTCTCCCCAGAGTGGATTTGGGCATGTATCCGGAAACGAAGACTGGTGGCTCCCTGCTAGGACTGCTGCCTTCTCTCCCTCATGGCCTACCCTTCCCAGAGGGACAGAACAGGGTGGGGATGGACCACCTTCTCCAAGCAGTGCATCTTCCAAAACCCACCACCATGCATGGTCTTTCCCCAACCAGGAGTCTGGTGCTCTGGGTGCCACCAGGGAAGTCATATCCTCCTGCTGGCTATATAGGTCTTCCAGATCTGGGTGCTGGTTTTGTCATCTCCTTGTGTTCTTTAAAAAGGAGCTTTTCTTCCTTTTTAAAACATCTTGCCATTATCTCTTCCCCCACACCTACCCCCTGTAATTTCCCTCGTGATTAAGGAGTAAAGGCTGGACTACTGATGGTCTGTCCACAAAGCCAACCCCAGTGGCAGTCTTCTATCCCTCCTTGCCTCCCCTTTCACTTCCATGCTCATTTTAAAGTTGTATTTCCAAGACTGTTCTCCCTCAGAAATGCTGCTTATATTTGGCAAAACTTGTATTCAGCCTGGCCCTTTTTGCCAGGAATGAAGCCTCATTTGAAAGAAACAATGAATTTTATGACTTAATTGTCTGTGTTCTGTCACAGGGTGTGGGTTTGCTTTGAAGGGAGGGAACCAGGATCAGGTAGGAAAATGGAGCCTTTATGAAAAAAGGGAGCTTTGTCTGGGCTACTCCTCTAGGGGATACAAGGCTTAGGAGGCTCTGCCTCCCCAAAATCTGGAAATAAGACTGCTCTTTAGGATAACCACCTGAGGACAGGTCCACACAGCCTGCTTACAAAGAAAGACTCCTGTGCCACCTGAGGCTGGTTTATTTGAATAAAAGGAAAACAGTATCATTTAGCGCTGTTTTTGCAGCAATGGAAATGTGCTACAGATCTTGACTCGCCAATACAAGTCAGCCACATCGGCTTTTGAGCATTTGAAATGTGGCCAACACAACATGAACTGAAGTTCTCATGCTAACTCAACTTTAGTGGCTAGTGACTACCACATTGGATAGTGCAAGTACAGACAGACCTGGTTCAAAGCCAAGTCCTGAAATTTAATAGACATCACCTTACACAAGTTACTCAACATCTAGGCCTCCGTTCCTCCAAAAGGCATGGGGATAGGAATTGCACCTAAATCATAGAGTTGCTATAGAGTAAATGAGCTCAAGCTAAGTTCTGTAAAGCACTTAGCATAGTGGCATGCATGTTCAGACCCTACCCAGGAGAGGCCTGGCCTCTAACCACTTCCACAGCTCCAGCCTGCGTCTGACAGCTCACACTCTGGTCTGAATGCAGGCTCCTGGTTACACACTGGCTCCTGTTCTCAGGCCCGCTGACTCCTGAGGGTCAGTTCTTTTTTATTAACAGATTAGCAGGTTTGTGTGTCCTCCCCTGTGAGTTAGGTAAATGTGACAACCTCTGGAACATACTTGAGTGTCTGGGCCTGTAAGGTTGAGGACCACTACCTCCCCCCAGCCCTCTGGTGTGCTCAACAAAGGTAATAGACTGCAGGGAGGCTGCTTGTCAGTCAGCTTAGAAGCCAATCTTAACCTGATTGACCTGGGTTTCCACCTGCTGGTTAAAATGTGTTTGGAGGGGGAGGTACTGCCCTGTCTCTAGCTCAGGACATTGGGTGGTTCTGAATAGGAACCATTCAGTCTGGCTTCAGCACTGGGAATAGGACACCCTTTTTATTCTGTCCTCAGTGGAGACAAAAGCTGCTCCTCTGAGCACTGACCTACATAGATTTCCACCCCCTCTCCAGCCTCCTCGGGCCAAGCAACTGGTCAGGGCAGCAGAACAAGGCACTCCCCTGGAGAATCCGCCAAAGGACAATGACACTGCCCTTTGGCCTGACCGACCTAGACCCAGCCCCGCCTGTCCTTACTGGGCGCTTACACTCAAGGTGCAGCCTCACAGCAGAGGGGCGTGCTTTGCAGGGGTGCTCTCTTCCATTCACTGTTCAAGGTGTTCAGCCTATTTCCTTCTAGTCTGTCTGGCACATGACTTTTTTGGCTGCTGAGATTATACCATATAGACGATTTTGTATCCATTTACTTCCAAAAAGCTGTTGCTTGGCAACAGACAGAGGTCATCGTGGTGCTCAACGGGTAGGCAGCCCAGAACAATGAGGACAAAGGGCTGTGACTCAGCCTTGAGCCTTTACACACTCTGGACAAGTCTCTCCTCAGTCACAAGGCGGAGCTGCACAAAATCTAGCTCTCCCAAAGGCTGCATCTTCAGGAGCCCCCTCCCCTGGGCACTTGATCAAGGTGGTGTGCACAGGCCTGTGCACACACAGTCTGCCCACAAGGCTGGGTCAACCTCTGAGCCACTCCGGCTACAATAGCTGTATCCAACAGCTACCATCCATCTCTCAGGGCCACCTGAAGACTTAACTGGGCAAACTGGTTGTCTGCAGACTCCTTTCTACACACACCTTTAAGTTCCATCTCTCACCAAATCAGTGTCAGTGTCTGAACTCTGTGCTGCTTCCTGTTTGATCTTACAATTGGTCCTTTTTCTACTCAGCTCCCATCCTCATCTAGGCTGTTCTGTGGCGTCTTCCACATAGTAGTGAGGTCTTAAACAAGTCGCAACAACACTAAACTTCGGTTTCCCTGTCTGTTGAACAGGGCTATCTTGATCAAAGCCACATGTTATGACCCGAGCATCTCCAAAAATAACGCAGTCTCAGGCGCATACCTGTGTGCACATGCCTGAGATTAGCCTGTAGTTTATCAACTCTTGTCAGTCTCATCAGACTCTGGCAGCCTCGTACCAGATTGGACAGGCATCTATAAGGAAACTTTATTACAAAATTATAAAGCAGAGCTCTGTAACAAAAAAATACACATTCGGGTTTGTATTAACACCCAAGTCTGAGAGAATCTTAATATAAGCCACTTGAAGTAACACATTCACATCCAAAAAATTTCAACAAATTTATACAATATATATTGAACACTAATTCCTGTACAGCTTATTCTTACTAGTTTGGATCCAAGTATTCAGACATGAACCAGTCAGCCCTCTTTTTTAAAAAATCAGCTGAAGTTTCTGAACAATCACAGGAAAAGCCAAGGAATAATTGGAAGAATCTGATTTTCCATGATAATTAAGACCAAAGATCCAGGAGAGGCAGGAAGGAGCATTAAAGGATAAAAATCAAGTTTTCTACCTAGGTTAGATAGTCATTGAAATGGGATCTTGGAATGCCCAACTTTTATTTGGTATAACAGAGATGCAGAGAAAAAAAAATTTTTTAAAAATCAGGGTTGCTTGACACCGTTTTTCTTAAATGAAAACCGTCACCAAGAGGTTAGAAGACTTAAAGGCAAGTTTTCTCCAAAATGAGTAAATGACATCAGTTCTAATTCTTACTGAGGTTACTAACCAACCATTAGGATATTATTTTTAACTCATGTCTAGGAGGGAGATTGGGAGGCAGGGAGAGGTAAGGCCTCAGCAGAGAAAGCAAGTTTTAAGTAGGAGGAGAGCCAGCTTCTACCCTGAAGTTATTGCTAGGTCCTAACTGAGTTGCATATACACAGACCTGCCTCACAGTGGAATTGAGTAGCTGAATCCTTTGCTAAACTGGCAGGCATTGTAAACTACAGTACTCACTGTCCAGCAGAAAGATGTCTTCACAGGGAAATCTCGATTCGCCCAGTTCCTACAAAGGCTGTGGCCCAGAATCAAATCATCCAGGACTTGGTATAATGTTGAGGTAAGTGGCCGTGTTTAGCTGACAACTACTTGATGAAATTTGGTTTCCCCAAAGGGGGATTAGTGGTTGATGATAAGGAAAAACCTAAGTATGTCTGTATCAATAAACAGGTCCTCTTAGAGGTTTCCCACTGCTTTCCAGAGTCATGACTGGTTCTTGTCTTGGCTGCATTGGGGGAATGGGAGTGTCTGCCAAGGCCCTCAGGTGCTTAGGGTTTGCATAGATCATCCATTGGTAATGGCAGCGCACACAGCTCCTCTGATAACATGTATGTTTGTGCTTCGTCAAGCTGCTCCAGCAAACTTTTTCTTTAGCCCTTTGGTTCCTCCAGTGGTGTAAAGACCCTAAGAGGGCTCAAGCACATGACCTACTCATTGCAGTCCTTCCTAAAGAGCCCAGAGAATGCTTCTTCCTCACCTACCCCCAAATCAGTAGTCTGAGAAAGGGAATAGGAGTAGGGAGTCCCCACCAACCTGGGGAACTGAGACTTCCAGCTATGTGCTCAAGGGCTGAAACCAGCCTCATTCAGTACCTCTGATATCTCATAGGGGCTCTGTGTCTTACAGGTTTGGCCTCCAGGAACTTGTAAGTCTGCCTAGAGAAGAGCCAGGCTCTTTGCCTAAAGTCTCTATGCCTTGAGTGAGACCATGTTTAAACTTCACGGGAAAGAGAGGGACTTCATTCTCAGAGTAAAACTCCTGTCTGTTGAAGGAATCAAAGCTAAGCAAAAAGCCATTGCTTCCACCCAACACTTAGCCTTTTCTCAAACTAAAATTAAGGGTGGTGCTAAGTCAGGCCCCAAGAGAAGAGAAAATCCATGCACCATCTCTCACAGACACTAGAACTTCCCAGCAGTTTTGGAACCAGAAGAATTGTTGGCTTCCAAGGTCAGGTTGGAAGACTGATAGCTTCTAATCCCAGCACTGAAGGAAGCAACTCTTAATGACTTTGAAGTTTTTCAATAGCATTTGTGTTTCATTTCTCACCAGAGGTAAGTTTACTGGTCCACATTCTGTCCTAAGGAGAATCATTATTGGTCTGGTAAGCTAACATCTTTTTGGTCTGAGGAAACAAATGAGTTTTAGGTAATGTAGCAAGAAACTTTAGCAAAGGTAGGTTAAAGCACAGAAAGCCAGTGAAACCAGGAATAAACCCAAATGTACTGGGGAGGAAGAGAACCATTTCTACCAGGACTTCTGATTGGTGAAACACAGGCAAGCAGCTCAGGGGTACAGGAGGAAGGGAGGAAGATACAGTCCAAGTTCTGCAAAGTCCTCTTTCTTCATCAGTTACATCATCACCCAAGATCATTGAAACAGGGACTTGCCCAAGCGATCTATACCAGTTCTCACTGCCTCGGGCTCTGCCAGCCAAGAGGTGCACCTCCGTGGCAAGACAGTCATGCCCCAAAGGTGACGTAGCATCTTTGCTTGCCCTGGTCTTGGGAACACTGCAGATTTTCTTGTCAGCCTGCCCCCCTGCAAGCTGGCCAACCCTGAGCCCAGACATCTCGCACTGTGTTCCTGTAAGGCACTGAAGAAGCCGGTACCAAGCCCTCAGGATCGGAAGACATGCACGGCTCGGATCACATACTGCCGGCAGATGGGACACTCATTCATGCGCTTGCCACACTTGGTACAGGTTACCATATGGCCACACTCCAGCAGAACACAGTCAATGGGTGAGTCCATGCAGATCCTACACAGGTTCTCCTCCATGCTGGGTGGCATTGCTCCCCCTATAGAAACACAAGGCAGAAGAGGGGCAGAGTTAAGTGTATGGAGGTGGGAGAGAACAGGCACACTGTGAACAAACCCCCAAATCCACACACTTCCCCTCAAATAGAACTCCAAGAAAACACTTCCCAGGCAACCAATTCCATTTTCTTTAATCCGCACCTGCACAGATCAGGTTACAGATTTGAAGAACAAAGTACCTGTAGATCAAATACATCCCAGAACATGAGAACTAAGCCAGGCCAAGTCCTCAAAGCTTAAAAGAAATAATGTTCAGACAAATGGCGCTGTAATATAGAAAGTGAATGGCACTTAGGGACTCATTATCCCCTGAGGCAGAACATGCTGAAAAGGTAAAAATGGTTCAGAAAAGTTTAGGTATAAATGGAACTGTAATGAGTAAGGATCGAAAGGCTTATCTGTAAACATAACCCCAATTTAATAAAGCCAAGGATTAAGGGAGCCTCCTGTGCTATCCCACAGACTCTCCCCAGGCTTCCTCAGAAACTTCCTGCTGGAAGAGCCCAACAGAGATTATATAGCTCCTTCTTCTGTGCTACCCCCACAGGACTATATTCATACCTCCATGAATGCTCACCAGATTGGATTAGAATTTTTAAATTTGCCTACTTATCTCCACCACTATACTATGAGTTCCTTCATTCAACAAATTCATTCAATTTCTAATTACATACTTAGCAACTGCTATGTGCTCAGATATTCATCTTTGATTCCCTAAAACACCAGTCATGTGGTAGGTGTTCTCGAAATGTCTAATAAATGAACATCTCCCAAGGGAACAGCTCACACTTACTGAATGCTTACAGGTATCTGGCAAGGTCCTGAGAGCTTTGCATATTTTAACTCATTGAATCCTCATAAAACTATGAAGTATGTTCTCTTACTATTCATTTTATATATGAGGCAACTGAGGCCAAAGAGTTAAGTGGCTTGCCCAAGGCACACGGCTGCTAAATAGAGAAGCCAAGATTCAAATCCAGTCAGGGGGCCTTCTGGGCAAGCAGCCTAAGTACAGGGACTACCAAGATAGTATTAAATGCTCAGTGCACAGAGTTCTTAATAACAGCTCACGAACTTGTCTGAGTGCAAGATACAGAGGGCATGGCCAGTATTCTAGTTTAACTGCACAAACAGAAAAACCTTCATGTCCAGAAACCCAGCCACCCCAGCCAGCATGTTTTAAATGATAGGCTGAACCAGGTAGCCACAAATAGGGAACTGGACTGTACCAGTCACCTCTACAATTCCCAGGGGAATTCTCCCACACTCTGTTGCTCCTGCACTTTTTTTTCCTGTTTCCTGGACTATTAAAAAAAGTCAAGAAACACTTGAGGTGGGATGGCTGTGAAAGGTCATGAAACCTATTTACCCTTTTGAGGAGCTGTTAGCCCTAACAGGGAGGTTTGGAAAGGCTGGAACTACACAAATACCTAAAGTGAGCAGGAATAATTTCAGGACTTCATCACTGATTACTTCTCTCAGGAATAACAATGAACTTATCAGCTCAATTGCCAGCATTCTCCCAGGGAATCAGAAAAAGAAAGGAAGACACCAAGTAGATTAGCATGATCTTGGCATCAAGGTGAGAGAGTGGATCTAGAACCTCAAATGTTTTAGGGGAACTGAAAAGAGCTCAACTCTTGATAATTTACCAGCCAGAAGACTCTGACTCATTTTGAGCAAAAGGCCATTTTACTAAATAACAAATTTAGAGTCTTCTGAAAGTTTTAAAATGCTCTGCAGGCTTCTACATTACTCTGAGAAGTTCTGTCTTGGGGAAGAGTTCACAACCATACAGCCTTGAATGATACCCAGATACAGTTAGATTCCTGAAGTGCATTCTGGGAGTACCCAAAGGCTCAGTGGTAGAATTTAATATATAGGTGGGTGTGTGGCAGCTAAGGTGGGATATGCATCTTGTGCCTAGAAAGCACCATGTGTGATACCTTTCTGATCTGTCCCCAAAGCAGCTCTAGCCACTGCCCAGCCCTGTACAAACAAGGCTCTCTCAGGTCATTACCCTTTCTTCTTGGTACCAGAAGCTGTTAAACATCCCAAGTGATTCCCTTGAAGGTGCACACAGATCAGAACTGAGTGAAAACTGTAGGGGAAGGAATGCCTTAGCACCAGGAGTATGAAAAAGGAACCAAATGTGCCCTGGCCAGTGTTGCTCAGGCTCAGTGGTTAGAACATCAGCCTATGCACGGAAGGGTCATGGTTTCTGTTCCCGGTTAAGGGCACCTGCCTGGATTGCAGTTCAATCCCTGCCTGGTCAGGGCGTGTGCGGGAGGCAACCAATCCACATGTCTCTCTCAAATCGATGTTTCTCCCTCTCTCCCCCCTTCCCTCCCCCCTTCCACTCTCTCTAAAAATCAACGGAAAAAATATCCTTGGGTGAGGATTAACAACAAAAAAGAACCAAATGTGGCACATGCCACCACTTGCTTTGTTAAATATTTTACAAATGCTGGCTTCTGACCTCTGGCAACCCAGAGATCTGCCAATCAGTCTGCCCCCAGGTATGCTGCCCTCTTTCTCCCTTCCCAGGAGGAGAATTGAGAATTTCAAAAGATGCCGAGAAGCGCTGGTTCTCAGGGAATTTTCTCCACACCCTCTGTCCAGATGCTGATATGCTCAGAATTCTTGGACTTTTAACAGGAATTGGGGTTGAAGGAGGGAAAGGACAGAAGAGCTAAGAGCCTAAGCCCACTCCCAAACAGAAATAACTACATACCATTTTGGTCTTCGGCACCACACACTGAAAAGGAAAGAGAAAGATGTCTCAATATGTGATGGTATGAGGAATGTCTCCAACTACCCTGACTTAATTTCTGACCTCTGACTCTTTCCCTGCTGGGAACCAGGGTGGCCGAGAGCCCAGACAGACACCCGCCCGCCCCACTCACTACACACGCTGAGACTCACAGAAAGCTCCTGCTGGTGTGTCTGGTCTAGTCTTAGAACAGGGACTTACTCCATTGGGTTGCATGAACAAAACTGCCAAGTAGGATACTACATAAGCACAATATCTGTTCCTATTGCTTTTAAAGCTAGCATTAAGTCAAGAAAGTAGGCACCGTCTGTTCCAGTCAGCCAGGGCATCTGGATGAAGTTCCCAGTAGGAGCCATCTCCTATTCCCTACGTCCTCACAACTCTAGGGCAATTTTGGGGACAATCCCAAAGGGAGGAATGAGTTCAATCAGGTGACTGGTCAGACGTACCCTACCTCTGATGCATTTGAGCTACTAGGAGAGGAGAGCTTGAAATCTGACTTCAACTACTGTTAGCATGTAAGTAACTGAAATATTGATCTGGAGGAACCAAATCAGTTGGGGAGGGGTGGGGAGGAGAGAGTAGAAGGGTTCTAGTGACATCATTTCAGGAAATGCAGAGTTCAAAACAGCTAAACACATTTCTCTTCTGCAGGACTTTCTGCCTTTACTAGTATAGTATCTACCATGAATCAGTAACAGGGGGGCATAATATAAAGTATTTTTTCCCAAAATCATTTGACCATAGACCTAGACATTTTACTGGGGGCCAGCTGAAAATGATACTATGTAGAATGACTTGGGAAATGAATAAAAGGAAAAGCCCACATACTGGCCTAAGAGTCTCCTGTGTGTGCAAAAATTCGCTTCCTAATCTCCCAACTGTTTAAATAAGTATTGTTGGAGGTAGTAGTGAGTATGGTGGGGGTGGCATACAGTGGGAAAGACCATGAACTTTGACCAGGAAATCCTCAATTCAAATCTGGGCTGTATAATAAAAGGGGGATGAATAATGCCTATTTCATAGGCTGCTCTGAGGACTGAATGAATGTATGCAATGCCTAACCTAGTCCTGGCACTCTCAGTTATTACTAGATGGTTCAAATGTGTAAGGTGACTCCTTCCTTGGAAGATGCCGTCATGCTGTAGAGTGACAGCAAGTACTCCAGAATTCTGGGCAGCTGCCACTCAGCCTCTCACCCAGGTGCTGGAGGCCTTTCTGATCCTTGTACAGCCGTGTCACCCTCTCCATCAGTTCCCACTTCTCACAGCAGCCCTTGTAGTTGACGAAGTTACGAGCCAGGATCTCTTTCAGCTGCCGCACATTCAGACCTTCAATGTCTTCCAGATCGGTCAAGTCAGACAGAGAAGCCCTCCTGCCTGGGACGAAGCTGTCCTCTGAGTCAACAGACTAAAAAGGCAAAGATGAGATCAGTGGGCTCAGCTCTTACCTCCCCAAGCTCTCTCTCCAAGGACCTCAAAGCACTCATCACACCATACTTCTGGTGAATGACCTCATAAGTAGGAATAGAGGCAGGGAGAGTACCTGGCACAGGACTTTCCATTGTAAAATAGACCAATCGCTGTGACCCACAGTTCTGTGCTCAGCTCAGGCACAACAGCCACAAACCAAGCAGTGTATATAAGAGAAGCAGCACCAATTTGAGTCCGATGACCCTAATTTTGAATCCTAACTCCTCCATTGATTAATGCTAAATAATATAGGGCAAGTGGCTCCCCTTTCTGAACCTGTCTGTCCCTGCATGAAGGAAAGAGAGCAGCGCTAGCACACAGGTCCTGTGAAGATTAAATGCGGCAGCACAGGAACCCACCTAGCATAGTGCTGGCCTTTCTCTCTCCACTGCTTTCCCAAAGAGGAGGCAGACTTCCCTGGCCAGCACTCCTCTGTAAGTAACCTTGACCAAAACTCTGCGGCCCTGCCGGTTGTGCCCTCTGAACTGGCCCCGCCATGGCTGAGGCCTGACACCCTCTCTCATCTTTCCTCTTGATTATCTGACCTCCTTCCCCTGACAATGGCTAGTGTGTGCAAGAAGCAGAACAAGATTTCCACAGAAGCAGCAGGAGCCTGTACTCTGGCAGCTCTGAGAAAGTCAAGAGACTGGAAACTAATGGGCCATGAGGCTCCCCAGTCTCCACTGTGACCTCACAACTCCACACTAAAACACTGATGGTTTCAAATGAACACTAACACTAAACTCCAACCCTGAGACAGAATTTCAGGACTATCATCACAGACTGATTCTTCTCTCTCCACTCAGCGTCCGTTGAGAGGCTCCTAGTAACAGCCTAAGAACACCAGTGAAAGAGCAAAGGCAAAGGCACAGACTCAGCAGAGGCCCCACCTGGGTCTCATCCTCAGCAGGTGCTCTGGCTGTGCTCTCTGGGTAGATGGGTTCTTGGTCCTGAGACACGTGGCCATTGGCCTGTGGGAAGAGAAAGATGCCATCAACATCCACAGAGATGTCCCAGGATTTGCAGAGCATTGGCCTCTCCTGAGCTCACACTATGTCCCAAGTGGACATCCATCTTACCCAGAAATCTGGAGTCTCACACAACAGCGTGACTAAATGTTCCCTAATACTGACTTTGGTTGGCAGAGAAACAATACAAACAGATTTCAACTCTAGAACAAGATGGCATTAATTCTGCCCACCACCAGGCTGGCATTAGCCCACTCACTGTCGATTTACTCTCAGCTTGAATACGCCGAGTGGAAAGAAGATCACATGTCCACTGCAGGAGACTGCTCTCTAACTACCACTGAATTTTTTTCTTGACACTGACCCAAAATGCCCTTCCTGTAACTTCCACCCACCATCCTTGGTTCAGCCCCTGGACCAATGTCCACTATTTAATTCCAAACTGTTCATACCATGTCTACCCTTCCTCCATACTGAATCTCCCTGGATTCCTCAACTGGCCCAGCTGAAACAGTTTCCATACCCTCACCACCCTATTCCCTCTCTTCTGGCCAGTCACAGCTCCCACATTCTGGAAATGCGTTCCAACTAGCAGAGCACGCTGTTACTAAGAGCTGTCTTGAAACCTGGTCAAACATTTATTTTAAAGCATCTGAGAGTCCACTAGCCTAAGATTACATAAGACAAATGCCTATGCTTAAAAAATTTCATTGTGCTCGGCCAGTGTGGCTCAGCGATTGAGCATTGACATATGATTCAGGAGACTGAGGTTTGATTCCTGGTCAGGGCACATGCCTGTGTTGCAGGCTCGATCCCCAGTAGGTGATGTGCAGGAGGCAGCTGATCAATGACTTCCTCATCATTGATGTTTCTATCTCTCTCCCTCCCTCTCCTTTCCTCTCTCTGAAATCAATAAAACATTTAAAAAAAAAAAAAAAGTTTCATTCTGCTTAGACTTCTAACTTCTCAAAAGGTTCCTCCTAGGTACTCCTTCAGGTTTTGCCAGAGTACTCAGAACTCTGAGCCTCCTAATCCCATCACCATTTAAGCCACAAACCCCTTAACTAGATCCTCTTCACCCACTGCTCCCTCCAGGCAAAGGGCCTCCTGTGAGCCCAGAGCAAAGAGGTGCCTGAGCTCACAGGCCTTTTCCAGTAGTGAGGGCACTAGTAAAGGGACAACCTAGGAAACCAGTCAGCCACTGGCTCCAGCCACTCATCCCAGATTAGGATACATATATGGAGCTAATTAAGAAGAGGCAAGCAACTACAGCTGGAATGAAAAGTAGACATCACCACCACCAAAAATGGAAAGTGAGAATGAGATCACATATGTAGCATAACAGATATGGGAGGCACCCAAAATAATGTCTTTTATCAACACCTCTTGTTTTTTTCTTAGCTTTATGTAGAGGTTACCTTGGAGTTACAAAATTCTTTCAGAGCCTAACCTGTTCCTAAATACCACAGCTTTTGTATGTTGTTGTTTTTCTTGGAAAGAGAAATTGGATCTCATGCTGCAAATCATGTCGCCTTTGCCCACTGGCTAAAATAAAAATCTATAACTAGCATCTGTCCACACACTTCCTTCCCTAGCAACCACTGCCAGGGCATTAAAGGTAAAGGAAAGAACCCTGGTGGAGCAAGAACTATGAAAAGATTTGCATTCTAGGTGCAGTTCACTTGCGGAGTTGTCAGGTGGCCTTGCACAAGTTACTTAACTTCCCCATGTCTGTTTTTCTGCCATGCAAAATGTAGCTCTCACCAGAACAGGGAATGTGAGCTGACATGAAGGCCCTCTGAAAACATCAGAGATCAGAGAAGTACCCAATTAGATCTGGTACAAACTGTGAACTGTAGGTGTAGTCTGAAAATTTCTGGTTAATGACTAGAAGCTTAAAACATACTCCTTTCACTGAAAAACCCACCTTGATGTTCTTTAGGGAAAAACAATTTCCTCAACTTCCTCTCCTAGCTCCCCATAAACAGAAAGGAGTGCTCAACCAAGCAAAGGGAAGAAGTCACATCAGCAGGTAAAATCTGTCCATCAGACAGAGCCAGAGCCTAGGAAAGAGTTAAACTCCAGTTTGGGAGAAAGCATGCTCAAGCCAACAGGGTCTAAATGAGTTTACTGCAGGAAAAGTATGCGATCACACTGGCCTTTATGCCTCAATGCCCATCAGAGCTGAATCAGGGGCCCAGTCCTGGCAAAGGTGACCATCAACAGGCAGCAGCCATCCACACCTCATGTGGGAACTGACAACATGAGTACTACGCCAGCTCTAAGTAGCTCAAAGCTCTTTGGACACGACATCACACTAGTCAATCCTCCCAACATTCTGGCAAGAATGAAAGTGGCCTGGGATTACTAACCTCATTTCATTGTTAAAGGCTCAAATTCACCAGTGGTAACCAAAGAGTCAGTGATAAATTGGATGTGGAAACTGAATGGAACTTCTAGGTCTTAATCCCCCACTAAAGCACTTAAGGTACATCTATAGGATACCATCACTCCTTCCACAATGGTTAAGTCCACTGGCCTCATTCTTATCCAATAGTTGGTTTGCATGTCTGCCTTCCCTTAGAGAGGCTTCCTGAGGACAAAGGCAGTGTATACCTCATTTTTATACTCCCCAGGCCTGGTTTATACCTCAGTCAATGTGTTGCTCTTAGCTTACCATTTCCAGGCCCCACTGGGATGATGACAAAGACAGCTTACTGTTCAATACTATGCCAATCACTCCCCTGCCCAAACAGTGACTGCAGAGAGAACCAGTGCCCTTTCTTGGTCACTGTGTTTCCTTACTCTCCTTTCCCTCCATATGTTCCCTTTTCTCCTGTGTGCCTTAGGACGGTTACTAAGACCAGTTCCCCATCAAGCTAAAAAAGACCACAACAAAGGTGAGTAACCGGGAGAAAAATATGAACAGAACTAAATTTAAAGAATTAACTGAGTTTTCTCAAAATATTTTGGGACAATGAAATAAATGGAACTTTAAAAAATGTCCAAATGGGATATGTATGTATTAAACAAAAAATAAAAAGAACCTGGTACCATGCATTATCATCTCTGAAAAAGCCAAAACCTCAGGGTGATGCCAAGGATATACCACTCATACATCAGCAGGCAGAAAGATTTCACATAATCAAGACACCTAAGCTCACACCCCACTCCCACAATGCAGGCAGGAGGGGAAGTGAGCCCTCCAACTGGCAGAGACTGCAAGCGAGTCATACCTGCTGATTTTCCTGAGCCTGGGCCGGGGGAACAGAAGTGGCTTGTGTGGGTGAAGAAGGGAGGTTGGGTGAGGTAGGAGGTATTGTGCTGGCATGAGGCTGGGTCAGGAAGGCCTGCTGCTCAGGGAGGTCCGGGGAAAAGGTGGGGGCACGAGTCCTGCCCTCCTGGGAGATTACAGGCTGCTGGCCAAGCACCAAGAACACCAGCTCCTCTTTTTCCCGGCACATTTCAGTAGAGATGTCATGGAGGTTGAGATAGTCCCGCAGGTCCTTCACTTTCATCTTCATGAGCTCCTCCCGCTGAAAGGCTGTTGCTCGGAATCGTTGGCAGAGAAGGCAGAGGCGGGGCCCATTTCCCACTTGGCTCGAACAGGTCATGCAGAAATTCTTCTTACAGTCCAGGCAGGTCTGCTGCTTAGAGCAAGAGGCAGAGGAAACCACATCAGTTTGTGAAAACAAGACTGAGTGGGCTGGGAGCTTAGGGCTGCCAGGCCTAGCAAGACCGACAATCACTCTTTAACTAAGCTACCTCCTATACCTAAGGATGCAAGTTAACTTGCAGATTTCAGCTTAAAAGCCACTCAGGTGGGAGACCCTCTGTATGCGTCAGTGTATCCATGTACAGGACACTACATTTATTATCCTATATAAGGCTTTATATATTTTATTGATAGAGAAATGGAGGCTATTAGTTAAGACTACCAGGTTTAGAATTAAAAATCCCTACATTTTGCCCTAGTCAGTGCCTCTGATTGGGAGTTGTTCCATGAACTGAGAGATTGCTGATTTGATTCCAAGTCAGGCACATAACCAGGTGTGGACCAGATCCACAGTTAGGGGGTGCAGGAGGCAGCCGATCAATGTTATTCTCACATTGATGTTTCCCTCTTCTCCCTTCCTCTCTTTCTAAAAAAAAATCAATAAACTATTCCTTAAAAAAAAAAAATCCTACATTTTTATTGTCTCCTTCCTCCTTTTCTTGTGGTGTCACCTTGGGTGTGCAACTTAGCCTCTCTGGCCTTCAGTATCCTCATGTGTAAAATGGGGGTGGTAATAGTATCTACCTCATAGGATTGTTGTAAAGTTAAGAGATAATGCATGTAGCATATCTGGCAAAGGAGTCCACAATAAGTGTAACTGCTTTAATTGTTATTGCTAGGAAATACGAGCTAATGATGAGAGGCAGGATTCAAATCCTGAACTATAATTGTATTTATTGCTGAAATAAGAAAGCAAGTGTATAAAGGCTGTGGTGGTGGTTATTGTTACTATTATTAATTAAATTTACTGAGGGGCCACTATATGCTAGAGCCATACCTAGCTTGTCATTTAAATCTCAAAGCAACCCCATGAAGTAGGTATTCATATACCTCCCCATTTCACAGACAAAGTAACTGAGACCTAGAGTTGTAAGTATCATATTCAAGGGCAGGCAGTAAACAGCAGAGCTAGGATTCATACTCAAGGTCTGTCCGAGTTTAATGCCCACAGTCATGCACTTTCCACCGGGCTATGTTGCCTATCTCAGTCCTATTCAAGCCAACAGCAGTACTGAGTCAAGGGCCTGGCTCTTCATCTCCAAACTCCCCATCCAGAGGCTGGTGCCCAGGCTTCACCCCAGGAAGGCCCACTCAGAGGGCTGGGAATTCAGTGGTGCAGAAGAACACATCCAAGACAAATATTTAGATAGCTACAGAAGGCCCTCTGGACATGATTTAGGGAGCTCTTGTTTGTGAAAGTACAGTGCGTCTCAGAAGGGCAACAGGAGGGCCTGGCAGGCAAGCTGGTACCGCCTGGCAGCAGCAACTCCCACAATCACAGACAACACAATACATGATGGCTTGCTCAACTCACAGGACGCAAATCCTCAGCCTCTTGCCCCACAGGCTGAGCAAGCACAGTGACATCTGACTGAGCTGCTGCAGACAAGAGTATGTCACATTCTCACAGGGAGTGATTCCTGGGCACACTGGGATAATCCTGGAGGGCACACTCACTAATCATTTAAATATAAAACTTTTCATCCTATGGTGACTTAATTTCTGCTCCCTCTTTTCTATGTATAGAAAGCTATTCAAGCTACAAGAATGCCGAAGACACTTAGATTCTCACAGGCAAAATCACAGACACTTGTGTGGGGCTGAAGTACAGTCTGCATAGCTGAGAGATATATTTAGTCTTGTCTAAGTGTCATTCACGTAGTAAAGGGACACGGGCATAATGTTTACCACCCAGTTCTGACTATAAATACTTAGAAGGCATTGCGAAAGGACACATATCAACTCCCCTTATTCTCTACACAGTTATAACCAGATAATAAAATATTCAGAGACTGACTGCAAAGGACGGACGATTACACTAGTATCCATACGGTCTGGGACCCAAAGCCACGCAGGTGGAAAATGGATGTCTCAGGGGTTTGGGGGTTCATTCATCTCTGAAGCTTTTCTATTGGAAAATAAATGTGTTTAGGATGACTGATAGTAAATGAAGAGACTTCAATGTCATAACGCTGTAGATCCTGATGTGGAACATTACTCAAGTCAATGCAGTTTGACAAGACATAGCCTGACACAATTAAAAAGCCCTGGGTTGCTCAATTAGCCAAATCTAAACATTGCTCTCCTCTTTCTTCAAATGTGTGTGGTTTACTGGGTGCAAGACCAGAATGCAAAGACGGCAACCCAGCTTCTATACCCACAGCCCCCCACAGGGACTCTGAAGTCAGCCTGCATTTGAAACACACCCTAAAAGAGAAAGATAGGGCTGGAGGCTAAAATCCCAGTTTACAGAGGCAGGTGAGAAAAAAAAGGAAAAGGAAATACAGCCGGCCTGTCAACAAATGTGAGCAGAATGAGCAAAAGAATCATCACGCATTGCCCGACTGGGCGTGGCTCAGCAGTTGAGCGTCAACCTAGGATCCAGGCGATCGGGGTTCGATTTCTAGTCAGGGCACATGCCCAGGTTGCAGGCTGCAGCTGATCAATGACTCTCTCATCATTGATGTTTCTATATCTCTCTCTCCATCTCCTTTCCTCTCTCTGAAATCAATAAAGATATATTTTTAAAAAAAAAATCATCATGCACATATAAATTCTAGCAAATAGTGCAAACCAACTGAGTAACAAGGTAGCATGAAAGATGAATTAGTGGAGCCAACGTGCCTGCATAAATGCCAAGAGTACATACACACATTTAGCATCAAAAAAGCTGGCACTGGCACCTCAGGCAGGCACTCCCTTGAAGAATGCCAGGCGGATTGCTCTCCTTTCCTAATCTGCCCTTCATTCATCCTCCTGCACCCCCCCATACTCCCTGGCACAGGTGAGGCCCACTTTCTCAGCCTCCCAGCCCCTCCTCCCCATGGTCCTTCCTATAGGCAGGCATTCCTTGCTGAAGCCCACTGACAGGGAAGAGGGCAGCAAGAGGAGTGACACAGTCAGGGTAAGTCCTGGCTGGCCACTTCCTAGCTACGGCAACTTGCACAGAACAGATAACCTCCCAGAGCATCAGATTCCCAGGTGGTCAGTCCATCCAAAGACTGCTGGAAGTTTCACATGAGATGTATATTAAACCTTAGCATAAGGTGGTCTAGTACTCACAAATAGTACTCATTTTTTATTCTCTTTCCACTTTGCCTCATCTCTGAGCTTTTGCCAGTATCTAGGAACCACCCCTCTCTTTCCACTCAGATTTGAATACCTCTTCCACGTTTCCAAACACAAACTCCTCTTCCTCAAACTAGTCCAACTGAAGAGGCTGAATGTTAAACTTGCTACACAATTATCAGGGCTGCTGTGAAACCACTGGTCGGTATTAGCAATACAGATGGGATATTTGGCTTGTGGCAAAAATAGCCTGCCATTTTTCTGTAAGACTGGAAACTCTAGGAAGGCAGGAGATACATCTTACTTATGTTCTCTCAGTAAAGTCCTTNTCATGCACATATAAATTCTAGCAAATAGTGCAAACCAACTGAGTAACAAGGTAGCATGAAAGATGAATTAGTGGAGCCAACGTGCCTGCATAAATGCCAAGAGTACATACACACATTTAGCATCAAAAAAGCTGGCACTGGCACCTCAGGCAGGCACTCCCTTGAAGAATGCCAGGCGGATTGCTCTCCTTTCCTAATCTGCCCTTCATTCATCCTCCTGCACCCCCCCATACTCCCTGGCACAGGTGAGGCCCACTTTCTCAGCCTCCCAGCCCCTCCTCCCCATGGTCCTTCCTATAGGCAGGCATTCCTTGCTGAAGCCCACTGACAGGGAAGAGGGCAGCAAGAGGAGTGACACAGTCAGGGTAAGTCCTGGCTGGCCACTTCCTAGCTACGGCAACTTGCACAGAACAGATAACCTCCCAGAGCATCAGATTCCCAGGTGGTCAGTCCATCCAAAGACTGCTGGAAGTTTCACATGAGATGTATATTAAACCTTAGCATAAGGTGGTCTAGTACTCACAAATAGTACTCATTTTTTATTCTCTTTCCACTTTGCCTCATCTCTGAGCTTTTGCCAGTATCTAGGAACCACCCCTCTCTTTCCACTCAGATTTGAATACCTCTTCCACGTTTCCAAACACAAACTCCTCTTCCTCAAACTAGTCCAACTGAAGAGGCTGAATGTTAAACTTGCTACACAATTATCAGGGCTGCTGTGAAACCACTGGTCGGTATTAGCAATACAGATGGGATATTTGGCTTGTGGCAAAAATAGCCTGCCATTTTTCTGTAAGACTGGAAACTCTAGGAAGGCAGGAGATACATCTTACTTATGTTCTCTCAGTAAAGTCCTTAAAGTTATCTGTGCTTTGTACCAAATGAGCATTCAGAAAATACTGACCACATGAAAAAAAGAAAAAAGGTAGCAGGATCCATGTAATCATTTCAATTCAACTGCTTCGAGACATTTTAAAAGCCTGTGGCTGTTAAATGCCAAACCCTTCCGATAAGAATGCTGATCCACTTAAGCATGAAATTACAAATGAAAAACCCTAATAGGAGAAAACATCCTTAATATTCACAAAATTCACTGTGAATCACACAAAATTATTTCTTACTTTTGTAGCAAGAAAATATTGTACCAATAACCATCTTTTTCAATCCAAACAAACTGGGCTTCCCCCAACAAAAGCTATTCTTGCTCTGCTTTCTTCTTATCCCTCTGTATGGCTATGTATTTGCCCCCACCTTCCTGACAGACTGCAAGCTCTCTGTTAGGCAGGGATGACTGACTTCATCTCTGCATGTCTAGCCCAGGCAATGCCTGACACACAGTAGTTGATAATTTATTTTCCAATAAATAAGGGGAAAGTTCCTTATTTTAATCATTTGCCATTCTCCTAAGTACCCAGGCCAATATCCTGTCAACTTCAAATTGATCTTCTCCCCTTACATTTCATGTCTTCATATGCTACACGCACTCTATCTTAGTAGCCAAGCAACTTAGTGTCTCTGAGTCTCCTCCTTTTCATCTGTAAAATGGGTTAACAAGTACTACACTTCAGAGTATGGCATGAAGAGGTGCTCACACTAAATGGTAGCTATATGACCAGTCTCAGCCACCACCCTAGACCAGGCTCTGATCACTTCTCATCAGGTGTCAAGTGTACAAGAGCTTCCTAAGTGCTACTCCTGCCACTAGTGAAGCCACATCTACTACCTGAAACAGGACTGATCAGGTCTCCTTTGTTTAAAGTCTTTCTGATGGTTCCTTGCTGTCTGGTGGCTTCAAGCTCCTTACTGTGGCAGCCATGGCCCTTCACCACCTGATCACTACTTCGTTCTACCATAACTTCCTAATTATTCTACACTCTGGCCAAATAGGCCACTCACAATTCCCAAATTCGCCTTGCACTTGCCCCACATCTGATGTCTTCACTACAGCCTGCAAATCAATAAACCTTCCCAGAATTGTCAGTTAGAATGAGCAACTTACCAACAATGCCTGATTCCCCAGTACTTACCTTACTCAGCTGACTGTTAGTTTTTTGCAAAAGTGGGCCTCCTTAACCAGACAGGAAGCACCCTGAGGGAAAGGCCTAGGTCTTCCTCAGCTCTGTCTCCACAAAGCTAGAACTTTCAGCTGTTAGCAAGCTCCTGGTACAGGATTGGGCCCTTGATGAAAATCTTCAGCATGGAATTGGCAGCCACAAAGCAATGAAAATAGAAACTCTCTGGTCTACTTCCTCTTTTTCAAATTGTTCAATTCAATTGTCCATTCATTCATTTATTTAAAATTTTTATTGCCTACCTACTATGTAGGTAGTAATAGTGTCGGTCACTGTTCTAACCACTGGGGATACAAGGCTGTGAACAAAATTGAGAAAATCTCTGCTCCCATGCACCACCTGAGAAGATAGGCAACCCACAAACATATTTATGTCAGGTGCTGATAACCACTATAAAGAAAAATAAAGCATCTTCCCTTCCTCACCTAACCATCATTCTTCTTTTTCTGGGGGAGTTTTCTCCCTCAATCACATTCTCTCCTCTGACTGAGAAATGTCAAGAACTCGCTAGATCCCCTGGTTCTCCCAAGTTTTCAACATGCTTGACATGCTGATCTCCGAGCGTGGATCACCAACACTGTCCTCTTTGCTCTTTCTTTCTCCATGTCCATTCCATAGAGTATAACTAACATTTTTTAAAAGGGGGTCACAATCTCCCACAAATACTGAGAAACTGTAGTTAAGTTTTTAAGGAGTCAAAAGTTATACGTGGATTTATGACTGTGCAGGGGGGCTGTCAGCACTCTTAACCCCCACATTGTTCAAGGGTCAACTGTAAGAGACCGAGAGAGACAGAGAGAGAATGAATATGTGTGCGTGTGTGTACACACATACATACATACATAGTGTGTGTGTGTGTATATATATATTTATCAGTAATGTGGAGGTAACTACCAAAAGAATCAGCCAAAAGAATTGAAAGCAGTTGCCTCTGAGGAGAGCAAAATGAAAAGGGGATTTTACTGTTTGTTATAAACTTTATTGAATAAGTTGACTCTGTAAGTTGTATATTTATGTAACTGTAATAATTTTTTAAACTGTTGAATAACAATAAGCTATACACCACCAGGTTAAAAAAAAAAAGGTTCAAATAAGCCTATTGCAAATTCATGCTGCTCATTTAAACAAGGGTTTTCCCTATTCCTTCTTGCCAATTACTTTACCACTTCGACCAGCAGCTGTTCCTAACATTTCTCACAGTGTAACTATGAGAACAAGAAGATCTTTGGCTATCCAACAGACTCTTGATGTAACTAAGGAGTCCTTGAAACTACTACCTTAGATAAAGAGAATAATTTCTTTGCCTGTAAAATGGGAACAAATAATGGTATAGATGTCATAGGCTTTTGTAAGGATTCAATGAAGATAAGGCATTTGAAATGCCAAACTCAGTGCCAGACATATGACAAGTACCCAACAGCCTGCTTTCATCTCATCTAAGATCCTAACTCCACCCACCATCACCATCACTGAGAAGACTGAGGCCATGTGGTGCCGAGTTCCTTCTATTCTCCACCTGAGTCTCAATCTATTGGCTCAAACTTTCGTCTAAGTATAAAAGTAGGGGCACCTCTGCCCACCGAGCCACAGCTCCCTGACAGCCTGTAGCAGCTTCTCTGGCTGAGTTCTCGGGTAGCCAAGCAAATCACAACAAAACTATGCTATGTGCCCGCCTTTGCTGCACTACAGTGAAGTGCAGGCAAAATGCAACCTACAAGGTAAAATGCCAATCCTCCATCATCTTACAGTAAAAAGGGTAAGTGGGTCAACACTCAAGCTACAGAAGTTCTAATATGTTGAATGTCTTCTGGGAAATAGCTTGAGTCAAAGACCTAGGTTTGAATCCTGACTCTGCCATTTAATAACCATGTGATCTTGAGGAGCTATCTAAGGAGGGAAGAGAATGAGTACTTTAATGTCTCTTAGGCTATTTGTCAGGAACTTGACACATACAGTTTCCCTTTAACTGTTAAACTCTAGGTCTTAGTTTCTCATACAAAGGGAGTTTAGGAACCCTAAAGCCTACATCATAGAGTTATTGTGAAGATTAAATGAAACAAATCTTAATTGCTTAAAACAGACCCTGGCATACAGCAGATGATTTAAAAAGGGTTTTTTCCTCCCAAATTTCCCATTATCACCATTTTAACATTCCATTCTGGGCTACAGAATAATACAGAATGCAGTTTTCTTTCTTTCTCCAGGTCAGGGTTCGCCATCAGCCCTAGTGGTGCTTGACCAGAGAACACACTGCCTCTGGGAGCGGACAAAGGGAGGGCCCACACCCACACACCATTACCCAGCCAGTAAGTTTCCTTCCTGCTCGCTAATCTGTAAAACATGGCCACCAAGCATTTCAAATGGTATAGCCACAGTACATAAGCTCCAGTCTGTGTTGTTAGGATCTTAATGTACCTGAGACATCCTTGGCATTGCTTTCAAAAAAATGAACAAGTTAATCTGCAGTCAGACTCGTTATGATGGCAGCTAATGAAGGAAATAACATGGAGTACTTGGTACATTCCAGGCACTATCCTGGGCACCCTTTATCCTCACACCACTGTGAGATGGGTGCAACTACTACATTCCCATTTTATAATTGGGGAAAATGGATCTCAAGAAAGGTTAAGTCATACAGCTAGTAAGTGGCAAAGCTGATATCTAAATTCAGGTCTACTGGCTCCAAATCTATGTTGAGATGCTTTGATTTTGCTTGGTTAGTTTTTCCTTTACTACTTTTGTGAAAGGAATGGGTCTGGTTACTGGCACTGCTTAAGCAGAGGCAAGGCAGGAGGCAGGACAGAAAGGTCAATGAGCTGGACCAAGAGCCTAAGGTAACAGCAGGCCAAGAAGTCAACACTCACCTTCCTGGCCATGTTTGCGAAGTGGGCTCCACAGGCCTTGCAGCTTGGTTCCGCGCCTGTTGGGGAAGGAAAGGAGCTGTACCCAGGGTTGGAATAGGCCTGTGCTCTGGCTCCCTGGGGTGGTGGGGCCTCCTCAGGGTGTCCATCCAGGCAGAACCAGTTGCAACAGGTTGCCCACATGATAAAATCTGGTGAAAGGGAGAAAAGGAAAAAAGGTCAGAATTAAGACACACTTCTACCTCGTTCCCATTCCTGAGGGCACAGGTGAGCTGGGATACTCAAACTGCTCCTGCAGCTGGAGTGAAGGTGAGAATATATTGGGCCACCAGTTTCTTGCCACCTCCTCCACCACCACAGTTGTCTTTGCACATAAGAGGCAACTATAGACATCTGATCTGCCAGGACAGCACCAGCTGCCAAGTTGGCACGCTACCTTTGAAAGGTTGCTGATCCCTGTTTGGGTTTAATCTGAAATCTAACTTCAAATAAAATCTCTTGTCGTAGTGATTACAAGTGGCCTAACACCCACTTTATTCAAGAACATGCCTTTTGCCCCTAGAGCTCACAGACAGAACTTATCATGCACATACACATTGTAAAATTCCACACTCACATTGACCATGTGAGGAGGTATTATTATTTCCTGTATATAGGCGAGGCAACCCAGGCTAAAAGAAGTCAAGGTCATATGCTAATATACAGAAAATTGAGATTCAGAAAACCCAGGTCTTCTGACTCTAAACCTAATTATCTTCTCCCTATACCACACTACTGCCCTTTGGTTTCCCCTCCCACCAGCCAGCAGAACTAACTACTCTTATATTTGTACCTGCAATCACACATAAGCTTCCATCACAGCACCTATAACAGCTGGTTGCACAGATATGCTCACCCTTTGTTTTCTACCACTAACCCATACGTTCCTTGAAAGCAACAACCACTTCTTATTAACGTCTCAACCTTCCCCTAGCAGTGTTGTGTACATAGATGCTCGACAAGTAAAATTCTCCTTCCTTGCTTACTCAGTGCCTCTGTGAGTTTATTTAAAAGTTTTGGATTATCATCCCCATTTTACATACCAAATACAGGCGCTAGAGACAAGGGGACTAGAGGAGCTAATCTCCCAAATGTCAGAAAAACGTAAAGATGGCAAGACAGTCCACTAAAATGCCAAGTACTGCCATGATAAAAAGTGTGCTTTTCTCAATAGACCAAGGCAGTCAATATAGACATTTAAATGGAACACTTAGTGTTATTACTCAATAATCAGTTCACACAAAAAATAGTACTCTCTGCTCTGCCTCCTGACATCTTGAAAGTGCCTTTGTTAAATCATAGTTCAAAGATGCAATAAGCAGGAAGGAACTAAGAAGCCAACAGGTTCAACCTTGGTCCTTTTATAGAGGAAAAGAAAGAAACCCAGCAAAGGGAGTAACTTCCTGGTTCACACAGCTATAACCTTAGGCCTCTAGGGCCTCTTTAGCTTCCCAACACTGCCTCCAATACACTTGTGATATAATTCATTCACTTTTGTAGGCGGGTCCAAGTAATACCTATTCTCTGAACTTGCTTGTGACCCCATGAGAACAGGGACCATTAGTCATACAGTACTCTGCAGATAGGTGGCTCAACAAGGACTACTAAATGAATCACATACAACATTAAATCTTAACTAAGCACACATCCGTTCCATTGCCTACACATCCCTTTCTGACTCACTATTACTTGCCTGAAGACTCTAAGTTTCCAGAAGACAGGGACATAATCTACCTTACTTGTAATTAACATTTCACACTGAATAATGAAGTAAAGAGCAGTTAATTAGATGAGTTCTTTGTTGGCAAGAGAATGGAGACAACAGTGGAGTAGTAGCCCTCTGAAGGAGGGATTCTGTAATTCTTTAAATCATCTGCTGAAAAAAGCACCTGAGACAGTATGTAATAATACAAAGAACATAGGATCTGGGTAAAACATAGGTTCCAAGCCCTGTTTTACTACTTATGGGCTGTTACCTACCTCTAACAAGTCATAACCTTCTGTACTTCATTTTTCTCATCTGGACAGTCTGTGGCTGTGAAGCACTAAATACCACAGTAACAATACTTTAACTACAATTTCTCTGGGAAAGCATAGGCAAAAAGCCAAACGTAGAGGTTTCAACACAACTACCATCTGGCTTTCTGGGCTTGTCCCAAGATCTTTGCCAGAATTAGTCTGTGTCAATGAACTGAAAAGGTGGGGGAAGGGAGAAAGAAAATAGTCCTGGATGAATCCCAGGGTCTCTGACTTACACAACAGGACATACAGTGGAATCAATAACCGAGATAAAGCCCTCAGGAGGAGGCAAGTGTCTGTGTGTGAAGGAGGGGATCAGGTTTAGATGATGAGTTTTTAGTGGGACATGCTGATGTATACATAGCACAAAGGGGTTTGGTCTCAGCTGAAGATGAGGTTTGGGAATCCTCAGCCTTCTACGAGTACGTAAACCCAGAGTGGGGCAGAAGACTGATGGACAGTCTAGGTCAAAAGAGACGCGGGTCTGGGAAAACCCTTGGGAAGGCCTGATCTAAAGGAAAAGCAGAGGAAAGCCCACCAGCAGAACAGAGAAAGGAAGAATGCTCAGAGGTAGGAAAACTGAAAGTGTTATGAGTTTCAAGAAGAAATTATCTATGCTAGCAAATGATGCAGAGAGTAGAATACAATAAAAAAATGCAAAATGCCCAATAGACCTAGTTTACAAAAATGTGGGTACACTCTTTGCCTGAGCAGTTTAGGAAGATAACCACAGGGTGAAAAGTGAATGAGAAGTGAGGATTTGCCAGGCTCTAAGGATAAATTATTCTTTCAAGAAACTTTTTACTATAAATAGGAGAGAGAAGGAAGTAGCTAAAGAGGATCCAGGTCACTAAGGTAAAGAGAAATATAGACATATTTAAAGACTGCAGAGGAAACTCCCAAAGACTAAGACATTATAGAAGAAGGAAGCTAGCAATACATGGGAGTAAGGGCCAGGAGTAGAAGGAAAAGTGACACCTACTGATCAGATTCTGGGTGGACACGTTTGGGCAGGAGAAAAGTCACCTTCTTCACCAGAAAGTGGAACAGAAGCGAAGCTATAACCAAAGATAAGCTTACAGCATTAGCAGAGAAAAGTGAAGGAATGAAATAAAAAGGAAAAGGGAGGAGGTGGTATATTTAACCACAAGAAAACACACTTTTCTTCCACACTACGGATACACGTTGCAATTTTTCCTGAGATAAGGATTTGCCACAATGGACAGACCTACCTGGTAAGGCACAATCAGTAGGAAAATACAAAGCTGGCCCACTGTATATTGTTTCAGCTCAAGAGTTTTCTTTGTTTGTTTTTTAATCCTCACCTGAGGATATTTTTCCCACTGTTTTTCATAGAGGGGGGCAGGGAGAGAGAGAAACATCGAAGTGAGAGAGACTCATCGACTGGCTGCCTCTGGCATGTGTCCCTACTGGGGCCAGGGATCGAGCCTACAACTCAGGTAAGTGCCCTTAACCTGAATCAAACCAGAGACCCTTCAGTCCGTAGGCCAGACCTCTAACCACTGAGCAAAACTGGCTAGCTCTCAGCTCATGAGCTTTATAAGCACCCAGGGAGCACCAGCTATTGCTTGACATGGATACCAAAGTGGCTTTGACAAGGTCCTTGCGCCCAGGGGATTTTGGCCCAGTACAGCACTATAGCTCATCCTGATACAAAAGTTGAGAAAGCTCTCCCTTAGCTGGGAGTCAGGGGAATGTATCTGCCTCAGCACTACTTTCACTCTCTCAATTCTGTTTCTAACCTTAACTGCCGCCTCTGGAGAGCTGTGAAAGCAAGGCTTTGGCCTGAGCAAGTACTGGGTCGCTCTTACAAGGACTTGGCTCTGAGAGAAGGCTTGAAATTTGCCACTGTTCTTCCATAGCCCCACATTTAGGTGAAGAACAGACTTACTATCCTGAGGACATATATATGTGGGGAAGGGATAGGTGGGGAAAGAATCTCCAGTGCTAAAATACCTCACACCTGCTCGCTCAAGCAGAACACATTACCAAAGTCAACAGACTAGGCTTTTACTCTTTTTGGCATATATTTAAACACCAAAGAGACACATTTCCTAATGTGGTCAGTTAAAAGTACTCTTGCCAAACTGGAAAGCCTAAGCCTAAATAAGAACTATCTTCCGGGTTATTTTAGGGAGTAAAAAAGTTTGTAATTTTAACATTGCCATACAAACTAAACACTTTTCTCTTGGGAATACTTTTTCATCCCTCAGCCCCAAACAGATTCACATACATGGCATCTGATTATGTTACTTAAAGGACTGAAAGTGGAACCAACTGTGAGGTTATGTATAAGTCTCCCTATGTTGACAACTTTGAAAAACTTCCCTCTCTGATCTAAACAGAACAAGTCCTCCTCCAATTCCCCTCACCCTCTTCAGAAAAGAGGAACTTGGAGATTTAATCCTCAAATATAGTCTCTTACTGTCCTACTGAGTTTGTATGAAAACTGCTAGACTCTCCTCTCCCACTTTGCCTACAGGGAAGAATGAGAGATGTAGGATGGGGTGAGCAAGAAAACTGACTATTCCTTGTGGAAGAATCCTGTAGTCTGAGGCAAGAATGGCTAGCAAGCACATGGGATTTTGTCAGCTTGATAAGGATGCTGGTATTTCTTGGGAGACTGAGCCCTGCTGAACAGGAAAATTACAGCATTAACCCCAGGGTAAGATAAATGACCTCGCCCAGGTAGGGTGAGTACAGTCAGAGTTAGAGGCAAGAGGGGAGGTAATGTGATTTCTCCCTACAATCACTTCACTTGTTCACCTGACCAAGTCAAATAATTTTAAGTGGATCAGTGCTTGCCATGGGCTTTCCTATGGAGGAGAGAAGGGTTCAAATGGACCTGTGGCATAGAAGGGTCAGAATGTCAGTGTCCTAGTAAAATTAGTGCTGGCGTGCAGAGCAACTCCAAAACCACCTTGCAAATCACCAAAATCTACAGAGTAAAGTCAAGTCCCCAAGGTTCTCATCCAATCTGTTGTGACTTTAATTAACTGGTCTGTGTGCCAAGGTACCGCTGCAACAACAGGCTTCACACGGATTCAGAGACAGCAACATTCTGGAATTAACACACTTGTGGTGAATCCACTGTATAAGACTTTATAAAAAT